GTAACTGCCCTGAAGATTCAGAGATGTCCAGAAGGTGTGTAGCACAGGGTCTGCATCTCATAGGAACTCATGTTCTCATCACCCTTCTCCCCCTGGGGTCTGGGCCTGTCCTCACCCAAGAATACCCCAGGATCTTGACTCACTCTTCTCCATTTCTCATCAAAATTCACTAGGCCTGGTATCATCATTTCTGTCCAGCTAATTTCCATGAAAGCTTAGATGGCTGAAATTGTTTTAATGTGCTTACTCACAGTGAAAGAAGTATCGTGAAAATGCAGGGCCTCCATGTGGAAGAACAAATACCCTCTTGTACTGGGCAAGCCCAGGTGGAGGATATTTGTGTGTGACACTTATCTAGAGCTCCTTAAATAAGTTTTTTTTTTTTTCCTTTGTAAGAGAGGAGGTATTTCAAAGAATATAATATCTCCTGGGATTTCTTCTTACCTGATACTTAGGGGGAAAAAAAGGAATCATGGACTGCCTAAAACATTGATTTACCATTTTAATGTGCTTAAGTTTGGAATGCATATAGAATCTCAGCAGCAATCCCCTGAGATTCTGATTTAATAGTTTTCTGAAGAGACCCTCACTTTGGAAAATAATGCCTGTACACTTCAGCCATTCCACAAAACCATACTGACAGAAGAAGTGGGCTCACAGCAGTCACATAATGAGTTGATATGAACAGGAAGCAGTTGCTGACGAGCAGGAGTGAGGTCAATCAGTTACAGGCATCTATTACTTGACAATACTCAATGTGCTCAGCACCCTTATCTTTCCAGTGCTGAGAAATGGAAGGTGCCCAATAAGTTAAATATTAAATGTGTATGATATTTTTAAAAAACAAAATAAAACAATATGGCCACAACAAAGCAGACTGAGTGGTATGAGATGTAATCCAGGGAAAGGTTAGTGCCAATTTTAATAGAGAAAATGAAAAAAATTATTTGCTTTCAATTTTACTGCAAAATTCTGACTTATATTAGAGTCTGGATACATGTGAAGGTAACCCATTTCAAACATGTGGGAGTTCCATTTACCAGAAAACAGGCTCTTTCTTAGGTGGAATGATTTTAGTGAAGGGAAGAGAGTCTTTTAGTGATGTGCTCACTCAGCAACGTGGCACATTCTGGGGACTCCTTTAATATAGACTGACAGGATGTTAGCCCTGTAACCCCCAACACCTTCCTTTCAAGAGGAGGGAGCACAACGCAGAAAAGGAATGCCACCATGAGGTACAGGCAGGAATCTCCCCCTTCTCATAGATCTCAGATTCTATCACATCTCCCTACCTCTGTGGAGAGATGTTAGAGGCTGTTCCAGAACAATTCTACAACTGTTTTGATGGATTTTCTAGAGTGCATACTATCTGAGTTTCTAGGAGAAAATGGCCAGAGAAAGCTTAATTTTTAGAAGGCCATAGGTTACACAGGCAAGGACAAGACTCAGCAGCTGTGTGAGTTGAAGCAGACCTTCTCAGCAAAAATCTGCATTTCATACAGGTGGCTATTTATATGTGAATTCAAGTATGAACAATGAAAACTATACTCTTTCAACAATCAGAACTTCAGTCTATGTGATGGCCAACACCTGAATGGTATTTTCATTAAAACAGTCACCTGATGGTCAACAGAATTAGAAAGAAATATGGCAAAGTTTACATGGATAACTTTGGCATTTTCTTAGGTTCAGCTATAAAAGGGCATCAAGTATAGCTCAAGGAAGCTTTTCTTAAAAGTAATTAGTATTTTGATAGCTTTTTTGAAGTTTATTTATTTTGAGAGAGAGAGAGAGAGAGAGAGAGAGAGAATGTGTGTGGGGGAGGGGGACAGAGAGAGAGAGAGAGAGAGAGAGAGAGAGAGTCCCAAGCAGGCTCTGTGGCACAGAGCCTGATGCAGGGCTTGATCTCACCTACTGGGAGATCATGACCTGAGCCAAAACCAAGAGTTGGATGCTTGACTGACTGAGCCACCCAGATGCCACAAATATAGAAATCTTAATGGAAATCTGATCCAATTTAATACAATGAAACTGGCTACTTAAGACAGAAGAAGAAGGGGGCGCCTGGGTGGCTTAGTCGGTTAAGCGTCCGACTTTCGCTTAGGTCGTGATCTCGCGGTTCGTGGGTTCGAGCCCCGCGTCGGGCTCTGTGCTGAC